AAGTACTCCAGAGTGTTGTTCAGCATGGGGGTGAGTAGAAAATGAAGGCTAATCATGTTTTGGGTGTACTATTCCTTTAATACTGTTATTGTTATTCAATCATAATAATAAAAATGAAATGACTGAAACACTGAAAAATTGACAGTTCCATGATGCATCAAGCTTAAATGTTAAAAAGTATCCGTATTGATATCGGGGATACTGACCCTGATATTTAGCAATACTGATATTTACTTGGTATCGCATCGATTAAAAATTCGCAGTATCGCCCACCTCTAGCGTGTGGTAGTTCCCACTGATTTTGCTTGGAAAGCGGGGAGAATGGCGCTAGGCTAACCGCACCATGACGTCACTGCTGGAAGATGGCAGGAGGGAGGGGCTACTATATTTGGGCAAAAATGGCCGCTCCCAGACTCAGTGATCGTGACAAAAATTATAATTGTTTTTTACTGATTAACGCTAAATTCATTAAATTAGTTTTAGGTATAAATAATGATCCATTGGTTATTCCTTGCTGATCGGACTTTTCCTTTAAAGCAGTTTTCAACAAGGTTAGCAAACATTTGGTACCTGTGCTTCGGCTTTAGATTGTACAAAGAATGGTTGAATCTGCTGTTGAGTTGCTTCTCCCCTAAAGAGCAGATAAAACTGGAGGGAAGGATGTTACGCATCATGTTCATCGTTCTGCTTATGAGCATATCCAGGGGCATCCCACTGTTTCCAACTCTATTCAGGATCCAGGCTCCCCTTCGAGTGCTCAGGTAAACCTAAAAGAACAAAACAAGGCAAAAAAAATGCAAATAATGTTGAGAGTGTAGGAAAATGTTCAGTTAATGACTGAAGGAAAAAATTAAGCAGTTTCATGATTTTTTAACACTTTATTTCAATTTAGCTACACAGATTATCACATAAATCCTCCAATTCTATGTTGCTTCATATCATTTCTCCTATTGTCTGTAGCAAAATTATGTCCACATCCTGAGAACCTCTGTTTTTTGTGAGTGGAATTTTTTTTTCTGTGAGAGACTAACCCAGATAGAGTAAAAACTAAACCCAGTTCTTTCTTTTTTCAACCAAATTTGGACATCTAAAACTGAAGTGCACATATTTATCCCCTCTGAGTCCAATGTTTTTTTTGGGATTACAGCAGCACAATGTTTTCAGGGAGTGTTTCAACAAGATTTACACATTTCCAAACTAATTTTGCTAATTCTTCTAGAAAATAAAAATAAAAAACTATCTGTGAGCATGTTATCTATTACACTCAGGGGTATTAGAATGTATTTAGGTCTTGACTGAGTTAGCAATGTAACAAAGAAAACAAAACAAACTGAAACCAATCTATAATAGATCTAGCTCTAAGTCCAGGGCCGCTCTGCATATAGAAAGCTAAACTCTGCCCTAGTTTGGAGTCATTTGCAGCAACAAAAAAGGTTTTTGTCCAGACTTGATCTGCATTTAGCTCCATCCCTGTTTCTAAGAATTCAGACCGCGTCCATGCTAGCTGCCAATCTCACGTTTAAACATGGGGACGGAGTACTATACCGGTAGTTGTACTTCTTGGATAAATCTTAAATGTTAGAGCAGTTTACAGGATGTAAGAGCCAATTTGAGACAAATTCATTTATAGTTTCAAAAAGGGTTAAAATACAAGATTGGTAATTTTGTTTGTTGTTAAGATTATAATTCAAGTTTAAAAACTTTAATATTAAAACCATAGAATATTGAAATGTAATTTGAAATGCATATTTTTGGGCTTCCTGCATGCCGTAATTGTATATGTGTTTTTTTTTTGTTTGCTTTTACTCACTGTACGTAAGGACTGAGGGAAAAACAGATATGCTGGAAGCAACACAGTTTTTGACCGAGTTTATTTTATACGAATGTGGATGCTCTCTTATTTTTGTTTCCTTTTAATAAACATCACAAGTTGAAGAACATTTTCTGGAATTGCTTGGGTTTAAATACTAGTTGCTAGACTGTTTTTCCATGCGGTACAGAAGAAGCTAAAGGAGCTGGGTGCCGCTACACAGGACTTATGACTTTTTTCTTAGGGCCAGTTCCTGAGGGCCGGTACCCTGCAACTTTTAGATGCGCCTTTGGTTCAACACACCTGAATAAAGTGATTAGATGATTAGGAGGACTCTGGAGGAACTGACTGCATACTGAGTAGGTAACTCAGCCATTTGATTCAGGTGTGTTGGATCAAGGTTGGATCTAAAAGTTGCAGGAACTGGAATTGCCCAGCCCTGTTCTAGGGTGTCTTTCTTTGCCACTCTATCATTTAGATTGATCTAAATGATAAATCTGGATCAGTTCCTCGGGTTCACAGCTGTTAGATTTACATTTAGACTTCATTGTCATTTTAAATACACATAGTGTTTACCAAACTAACTTTTGTTCAGTACAACTCTCAAGACATTTCCGTTTCTAAAGTGCAGCGGTAATCAAATGTGAACATGGTATCAATGTTTCCCACCCTTTTCACTTTTGGAAGGGGGATTCATTATTTTAATAACACATGAACATTCAGATGACTGTGAGGTTTAGTCCAACCTGCTTGGTGACTCTGCTCAGTTCAACCGCGATGTCTCCCCCAGAGTTTCCTATTCCAATCACTACTGCCTTCTTATTTCTCCATTCCTCTGGAGTCTTGTAGTCTCTGCTGTGGAAATATTTCCCCTTGAAAGTCTCGATGCCTGAGATGAAGAAGGTACACGTTTTACAGAGGCTATAAGATCGGTCGGCGCTCTCAGTGTTAATGTAGTAAACAATAATCACACTGTTCAGTAGAGAGTTTGCTCATCAGGATCTTTGACAGTGTACCAAAGGTTACTAGGTTTTACAATTGCACTTAACATGCAACATTGGTCCTTAGATAAAAACAAGGTTGTTTGTTGCATGTCCACTGGCTTGCAGAGATGTATAATTAGGTTTCTGATTACAATTTATTACAGTATAAACACAAATTTCAACGTATTTGTTTTGGATGTGGCAAACCAATGCTAAGCATTTAACAAATGCAAGACTTTCAGCGACAGTAGGCTGACAGGAAAGGGGGTATGAGAGAGGGGGAGAGACATGCAGCAAAGGACCACAGGTCAGATTCAAACTCGGGTCGGCCGCGTCGAGGACTAAGGCCTCCGTACACGGGTCGCTGCTCCACCTGCACGCTCATCTAAATGAACTCTGTTGGTTGTCATCAAAAGGCTGCTGGGAGGAAGGGTCTGTGATGACGCGAGTTTGTGCACATCGGATGCAGGGGCGGAGCTAGATGGGGGGCCGGGGGTGGCCATAGCCACC